GTTAATAAAGAAGATAACTTGTAAAAAAATCAAGCTAAACAGCTCATGTTTCTATCTTATATTAGGAATCAAGTGTAGCACTATCACAAGAGCAGAGCAGCACAGAGAAAACAGCTAATGAAATGTCTGACAAGCAGATTCCAAGAGAAGTAAATATGGCTGAGAGCAGTAGAAAACCAGCTTCAACTGGCACTTAAATTGCTCTGCTAGAGAAGCTGGATAGAGTGGCAACCCACTCCACACGTTCTCAACTAGAAAGCTGATGCACAAAATATCAAGAATAAAGATTTTTTGTTTCTCCTTAAGGTTATGCAGGGAAGGAACTAAAAGTGAATAAAAGAAGGTCCAAGATAGAAATAATTAATAAAAGACACTAAATAAAAGAGCCTAAATAAAAGGGCTAAGAATGGGTGCCTCCCAGTCACTCCCGTGGACTGCCAACCCCACATACATGCTTCCCTCCTAAGCAATTATATCCTTAGAACAAATACAAACAAACAATTATATCCTCCCAATCAGATCCTTAGAACAAATACAAACAAACAATAGAACAAGTCCCAGGAGACTAACATCAAAACCAACTAGGAAAAGAGTAATGAGGACATTGCAGTAAGCATACAGAAACAAGTCTGCCATGCAGATTGCAGGACATGGCAGAGGACAGACTCAAATGCATCCAATAAAAATTTTTGCAGCCGGATGAAAAAATCATAAATTGCTCTCTACAGCCTAGTTGTTCTGCATTGCACGGTGAATAGACACTCATATGGAAAATTGAAGAAAACAACAGAGAGTATGGAATCGTTAAGTAACGCAAACTAGGAATTCATCCCCAAAGAAAATAAGTTACCATCATATAGAAATTCACATTAATTCGTCAGAATCACAAAAACCCAATACTTTCCCCTCCACTGACCATGCAAAAGACCGGTAACTGGCATAAAACGGGAAAAAAATAGCAGGCATCTTGCAGAAATATCAAATTCCTAAACACATAAACCCTAACCGAAGATTTGATCACCAAATTAATGCCCAAAAGCAATGAAAAACAGAACTCAGAAAGCAATCATGAAATAAGAAACAAAAAATTTTACGCCAAATCGGAGCGCCGAGAGAGAAAGGATCGAGGCGAGGAGGTCGGAGATAGAGAGCCGGCAGGAAGTAATCAATGATGGGCGGACGAGATTCTTAGGTAAGAAACGAAATCAAGGGATTCTGACCCAAATACAGAATTAAATAGAGCTGATCTAGGAGGTAGTCATATGCAAATCAATAAAAATTTGAGGAAGGAAGAGGAATTACCTGAGGCGCTGATCTATCGAGAGAGATGATGAAAAGTCAGGTAGATGCGCGCGATCGAGAACCTACTATCAAGGAGAGGTTGAGTGGCCGACGACGCGAAGGTGAGAGAGCAGCGGCAGAGTCAGGGCGGACGGTGAAGGCTCATCGCCGTCTGTGAGAAGAGAGTGCAGACCAAATTCAATTCAAAATTGAAATTCGAGGGTTTTAGGGTGAAATTGAAATACATGGTGTTTACTCTTTAGAATTACATGTTAAAATATATGTATTTCATATAAATTTAATTATATTTTATTTTATTTAGATAAAAACAAACAATAAAATTAAATTTGAGCACTTCAAATTCAAATATACACCATCAAATTCAAGTTGCCAAACAGAAAACTAATGTTAATCATCTTTTATGAGTGTGTATTCAAACCCTACTATCCTTTGTTTTAAAAAAAACCCCTACTATCCTTTTTCTTTAATTTTCATTTATTTAAATATATATTAATTTATTTTCGTTCAAAAAAAGATATTTTTATTTAATAAAGATATTTAAATA